CAGTGTGGGGCAGGCAGTTTGAAATGGCTCACTTCCTGGGTTTGTTCAGTGAAAATTAAAGTTACCAAGAATTAAATACCCTGATTTACACACACACACACACACACTGTAAAGAACACAAAAGGAAAATGACTTCTTGAACAAGAAAGAATAAACTTAGGGCTAACATATGTCACAAAAGGGATTTCTGTGTGGTCAAGTTGTTAAAGTTGTTGATAGGTTTCTGAAAATCTAGCATGATATACTGGCACAAAACCGGAATCTAGCCCACTATGCTGAAATAAACAGGTGTTCTTAGAGTAACTGATCTACTCAGGAAGAGTTTGCAAGAGGTCTTGGTGTTTAATTCTGAAGTCAGTCTCTTTAAGGCTCAGCTGCCCGGAGCGGCCCCTCACTGCCTTGCCCTGTGCAGTTGACTTCTCAGCTGAGGTGGTGGTCCCTTGGTTTCTCGGCCCACTTCTGTGAGGCCCTGGGTCTTTCTCCCCTGTTCTGCCTCTGTTCTTGTGGCCAGGACTGGAGCTCTGCTTGTCTCCAGGCGCCCCTTGGTGTGTCTGAACAGTTGGTGGCAAGCCCCACCTGGCATACTCGTGGACCACATGTCTGGTCACACTCAAGGGCCCCTCCAGGGGTGGATCCCAGGCTGTCTGAGCAGGGGCCCAGGGCCTCCGCCGGGTGGCATTCTCTCTTCCTTGTCGTAACTGGCCCAGGAAACAAAGCCTTTTGTGTCTTTGTTGGTTTTTCCCCTTACTAGAAAAACTGAGCCTTAAGAGAGTTGTTTTGCTTTGCTTTTTCTGACTCCTAGTTGTCACTCTGGTTAATGGCTTTTTCTCCATGAGCTGTGATCCTGCTCTGAATAGATGTTTTAAAAGCCCTGACAGCTGTGGCTGCCAAGGATCCACTAAGGATCAAGGTTCTACATTAAGTCTTTTTCACCCTAACCTATCTGGAGGCCTTCCAGCTCAGCCCTGGAGGACCTCAGAGGACTCACCATTCACCTTGTAGAGGTGGGGCCCGAGCCTGGCAGGCCATGGGGCAGGTGGGCTGTGAGCGGGGCCGTGTGCCCATCTACTCCGTGTGTGCTTGCTGGGAGGTGTGCTGGTGCGAATGTGCTGAGCTGGTGAAAGGGAGTTGGTCCTGGTGTGACAAGGCCAGAGTGGCCGTGCCTGGAGATGCCAGGTGACGAGGAGCCAGCCCCGTCCTCTTGCCCGGATTCCAAGAGCAGCTGCTCTGTCTCGCCCCCAGCTTTGATTCTTCTACAAAAAGCATTTACTGTCAGATTTATGGAAAGGACTATGACAGATACACCTGAATACAGGTTTCCAATAGCCCTAAGGCCACTGGACAAACGGAGTTCCTGGAACTCTGGTGAGGAAGCTGGTGCTGGCCTATGTCACTGCTCACTAGGCCCAGGGGAGCAGCTCAGGAGACCAAGGGGCTGCTGGAATCGGGGATTTTATGTCTAGTGTTTGAAACATTGTTGCTCTTTTCCTGACTGTTACAGTTTCCTAGAGTGGAGGAGACTTTTTTTGAGCTCTCCATGGTCGCTGCAAGTTGGTAAACAGACTTCTGTAAACATTGGCAGCAGCATTTACTTTCCCAAGTTAAAAACCGTGTTTCTAATGCTTATGGAGATGCAGCTGCATGCAGAGCTTCAGAGCCTCAGAGCTTCAGTGGGACAGTTCTCCCCACGGTGACTACCCCGGCTGGGAGGGTGAGAGTACACAGCTGTCCACTCCCAGGGCCCCAGAGCCCTGGAGGCAAGGCCCTACAGGCCAGCTCAGTTTCCACCTCCTTTGGCTTTCTGACCTCCTAGGTCTCTAGGCCCAGATTACTGCATGGCAGGGCCCTTTTCTCATTGCATTTATATAGACGAGCACGCCAAATCTGGTGAGACTAAACTAATTTGAGAATTAAAGAGGTTATCTTTGGTGAGAATCAGTATGAGTATTGGAAAACTCTGTAAGGAAAATGTAAATGCACTTGTTATTAGTTAATCGCTCTGCTCACTGTTTCTGTTTTTAAAAATTATCAACCTGTGGATCAGACTGGATCCTAAATTCTTCCAGCTTTCTCTAATAATATCTGCTACAACTATCAGACCTAGATCAGAAACTGCTCTTTCCTAGGGCCCCAGAGCAGGGTCTGGACCACCTGAGGTGACCAGAAGGGGACAGCATGTGCCTGATATGGCTGCAGAGTCTGTCCCCAGCTTGTTGGCGCATGGCCAGACGTGTGGGAACCACAGTGACACTCTCCCCCTTTTCCTTTGGGCCTGTCTTATGCATCTGGTGCCAAGGTGACAGTGACGTAGTGACGACCTCATAGCCAACTCTGTGACTCTGACGTAAGAAGCCCTATGGTCCATCCAATGGGTAACTTGGCAATATCACTTTTCTGTTCAGAATGATATTAGTGTCCTCTTATAAAACATTCTCCTTACTGGGAACGCGGCACGTTGGACATTAATGGGTAACCCTGCTGCAGCCTGTCTATTGCTTAAATGATAAAATGTGCCAAGACTCTTACAGTGCTCCAGGGAAGCCTCAGGGAAACTGAGATCAGCTCCACAGAATGAGCACATAGGCTCTCGCTGCCTCCGTTTCCCCAGATGCCCATGTGGCTGTCTGACTCGTCATCTTCGAGCCAAGGTCCACAGCTCAGAAGCGTTATGAAAACCAGGGTTATCATATTCCTGTTATTTTGCATATTTCCTTGTAAAATTGTACCTGCCATCTTTGCAGAAATACAACTCCCAGCATAATTATGTTGGCCCAGCACTGAGATGGTCCGGCAAGGCCACACCTGGCAACAGCAGGCAGATGGACTCACCAGGACTCTTCTTTCTGGCTTCTGTGTTGCTCCAACATGGTTACAGGGTTTCAACCCAGTCTTCCATGTGGGACCTGGCCAACTAGCTGGGACAGGTCCATTCAGTATCCAGGGACATGTAGGACCTGCCTGCGAGTTAGTTCATCAGCAAAGCTTTGGAGCAACTTTGATCAAAATGGGGGAGATGTGAATGTTGACCCCAGGATGAAATCATTCCTGGCAGTCCTGGGCAGGATTGGGTCTGGGGAGCAGGGGGGGGGGCTCCTGCCTTTTCTCGAGATGAACACCTTCTTAAGGGCTTTCCAGAGAGATCCCCTCCCATTGCACACATGCCCCATGACGGCCGCGCCTGGCACTATGTGCAGGGATTTCCATCACGTGGCTCTTAGAGCTTTCCGAGGCTTCCACAAGTCAGCAAGTCGTGGATACCTCCACTACACTGAGCAGCTGCTGTCTAGACTGGGGACCAAGGGACTCCACAGGTAAGCGGCTACACGAACCCTCCCTCCTGGTCTTTAAAAGTCTTTGCCTGGCCTGGACTCCTGCAGTGTGTCCCACTCCCTTCCCCTCTGGTGGTTTCATAGCTAGTGCCATTCCATTCTTACAGCTTGACCTCCTCCTTGTGAAAGCCTTGTCCAGGGGCCATGGACCATGATGCATGGCTGGATTCTGACAAGTCAGGGGCAATAGAGACCCAGCGTCCTCCTTCTGGGATTGTGGGCCCTTAGGCCCAGGCCTGTGAGCTTTGAGACCCTGTCCAGTCCTGGGCTCTAGGAGTCCTGGGCCTGGCCTAAGACCTGGAGCAGCCTGCCACCTGGTCTTAGGTTCTGTCTCCACATAGGCAGCCCTGGGGTCCGGAGCAGATGAAGCTGGAGACCATGGTAGCCCCCCAGCTCCTGGCACTGTACACTCCTGAGCTGGTGTTTGAGCAGAGCCCCACCAAGCAGCCTACTCCCTCTACACAGCCACATGTAGGACAGACCGCTGGAGAGCAGGGCCACCCCCCACCAGCCTGACCCCTGGAGGTCTGAGACCCTCAGTGGCAGAAGGATGGCCTGGTGGCTCAGGGAGCCATTTTGTCACAGCCTGCTGTCCCCACCCTACCCTACGCTGAGTATAAGGATCTACCTGCATTTGGGAGAGAGGGGAGTGAGGAGAGAAGAGAGGAGGGAGGAGAGGAGCGAAGGATGGAAGGCCGGAAGGCCGGAGGAAAGAAAGGAAAAGTGAGGGTGGGGGAAGGGAGAGGGAACCAGGATGGAGGGGAAGGTGATCAGGGTCCCAGACATCACATCCTGGTTTTCCTGGTAATTCATGCGCCTGACATTCCACCTGACTCACGGTTGACCCATTTTTTAGAAAGAAAGTGAGGACCAAGGTAATCCTGGGGATTACCAAATCCAGGTCGACGGTGCTGCTGTTTATAGCAGACAAGAGTAAGAGGATTGCCGCTGCCTGCTCCTTCCCTGGGTCCAGGAGCAGGGTGGCAGCTGCACCTGGGGAGTGGGCAGCCCCACTAGGATTCCCTCTCCAAGGCTCCTCTTCCATTCTGAGCCCCGAACCTCATCATCCCCCTGCCTGGCCTTGGACCTCATGCATCCCCACCCAGCAGCATGGTGTTCTATGGGGTCAGGTCGCTCCTGCTTCTGCCAGGGCTGGGAGAATGGGGCTCCTCTTCCTGCTGGCCTCTGCACCAGCCCTGGCTCTAACCCCTCCAGGGCTGCCACCTCGGCCACTGCAGAGCAGGACTCCACACGCCTGCTGGCCAGTGTCCCCACCAAGATTGCCCTGCAGTTGCCTCCTGAGAAACCTCAGGGTCTCGTGGTCCACACTCCTACTCCATGCACCAGGGGTCCCTGGCTTCAGGACCTGTATGCAGAAACCTTGGTGAGGTTTCAGCCAGACCTGGGTAGCCCTGGGCCTGGCCAACAACGTCAGCTTGCAGGACTTTCCAGGACCTTTGAACTGCACGTGGTGGGAGCTTTCCTGGAGCTCTTTCTACCGAGTGTGCAGGTGGCCAGCTCCTAGGAGGCTAGGCAGGAGACTCGGCACGGTGTGACTGGGCTCCAGCGGGGGTAGGAGGTGGGCACACCAAGAACTCCTCTGTGGGGAGCAAGCACTGCCCAGGACAGGAAGCCAGGACCTGCATGGGCACCTGCGGCTGGGGTGCTCACCTGGGTCACGTCCGGCACGTTCACCATCTTCTTGGTCTGAGCCACGTGGCCGACGACTCCGATGTCCAGAGGGAACACGATCTCAGCATCAGGGGGCACCAGGCAGTCCTCTAGGGTGCTGCCCGGTTGCACGCTGAAGAGCCGCGTGGCGAGCTCAGCCAAGCCGTTGCGCTGGCGGTACATGAAGAGGCTGCAGCGGTCAGCCTGCAGGATGGTGCAGAGACGCTGCAGGAGTGTGAAGACCACGCGCTCCATGCTGACGTTCTCTGGCGTGTCCTGCACCAGCGCAAACAGCGCGGCACTCTCCTCCACCTGGCACAGCTCTCGGAGACTGCTGCAGTCCACCAGGCACCCGTCCTCACAGGCCCCAGCCACATGCTCAGGGCTCAGCTGCTTCTCGAAGTACTGGTGGGCGAAGTCAGGGTTCCCGTCCAGGAAGCTGCGCACCTGCTCCTCACTGAGGCTCATGGTGTCTGCGGCTGTGCGCCACTGCGGGGTTTGCATGGACTCTGCAAATACCTTCGTCAGCAGAGTCTTTCTTAATGATGATTAGGGAGCCGGGGGGAATAGCTGACTCACATCCACAGAGGGGGCTGCCCCCACCACCCTCAGACCCAGAGTCGTCCCTCCTCTCCTGAGAAAATCGGCCCCCGGAATAGGGGCTGGGGTGCCGCGGGGGCTCCTGCCTGTTTCAGGGGCCATGGGCAACTGGGGGCAGGCATGTGGCTTCTGGTGGAACAGGCCCTGAGCTCTGACCCCTAAGAGATAATCCCAGGAACACCAGGACTCCTGCTTCGGGAGCCCTTGGGGATTCGGTTGGTCTGACAGGCCATCTCGGGTCCTCTGGAGGTCCTGGCCTGGGCTCAGATTTGCTGGGAGGCAGAGGGCACTGGCTCTGCCTCCAGGAGGTACAGACTACTCTCAAAAGGGAGAGGGAGGTTGGGGTAGCCATATTTGGGGGAAGGTATTGGCCAGGGGTAGGGGTGGGACTGATGTGGGGCTCCAGGCAGACAATCCCCAGCACCTGACACATAGTGTCTGTGTCTCAGATGGAGTCCAGTTGCCCAGACAGCAGCTGGATAAGGACTTCAACAATTTGCTCCGGGTGTCCTGCAGATATTAGCAGGAAAGTTTGGGTAAGAACTAAGGACAGAGCTGCTCTGCCTGGCTCTCTTGCAGCAAGCAAGCCCTTTTTATGCAAAACAAAGGAGACTTCGATGCTGGGCATGTTTTGCATGAGTGTGCAGGCATGGGTGCGGGCATTGGATTGGGGTGCATGCCTGGGGGTGTGTACATGTATCCAAACACATGAGCTGGGGGCAGGAGCAGCTCTGGGATGTAGACAGCCCAGAGCACCTAGCCCTGTTTCTGGAGGTGCGAGCAGATATTTTCATTGACAGGATTTCTGGATACTCTCCTAGACAAGAACCAGGAATCACGGCCCTGAGTCACCAGCCCGGCAGCAACCTGGGATGTCTTTGCATCATCCTCATCTACTTCTTCTACGTGCTACTGTACTTTCAACGAAGGCACGTGTGGTTCTCACACCCTGTGCACTGTTGGTGAAGACTGAGTGTACGGCATGTGCCTTTGGCATCTTCTCAGCACAGGATTCTGCTCTGGAAAGCTTCTCCAGGCACTATGCTGGCCCCGTGGCTGCCTCGCACTGGGAAAAGTAATCTGATGCACAGCTGCCTGTCCACAATGGGCCCAGCTGGCTGTGCTGCCTTCCCAGGGCTGCGAAGTCCCTGCCTCCACCTAGTCACGTGGCTGCTTCATTTGGGGTATTTGCTGGGAGGTCTCCCCTCTTTCCTAAGAATAGTGAGTTTGGGTTGGGACTGGGGAAGTGGGGTGTGGGATAAGGTGGTACTGTGGGCAGGGCTGCAGGGCTAGGGCTGGGGCTGTGGCTATGGGTTGCCTGCTTTGCATTCAGTCTGCTAACTACTTGGAGCTGTTCAGGGCTTTGGTCTCTGGCTCTCAGTGCTGGAGCCCAAGCAGCCCCCATGCAAAGGAGACGCAGCAGACCCAGGGGCCAGGCTTTAGGAAGGTGCTCCTGTACCTCAGCTCCAGGTTTCTCAGTTCACCTACTCTTGCCCACTATCCCAACTCAGCTTCACCCCAGGTCCTCAGGACCCCTGTGTGATTCTGTACCCCCCAAATGCACCCCTTTGCTCTGCTCATTGCTGTGCTATCTCTCCTCGGCCCACACTTGCCCTGTCCTGCAAGAATGGAGCTCACCTGCCCGTGGAATGGGCTCAGTCTGCAGTGAGTGACTGCAGATGGTTGAGGGCAAGCTGGCAGCACGGCCTCGGCCTCACTAGGGGCTCTGCAGGCCCCTCACCATAACTGCTGGGCCCTGCCAGCCTCCACCTGTGGCATCTGCCCTGCTCTGCCTGCCCTGGAGCCACAGAGCTCTCAGGTATGCAGGTCCAGAGTGCCAGGGAGGCCACAGCCCTGGGAGGGCCCCAACCTCTGGCCACAGTCATGGTGAATGCCCAGCCTCCCTGCCTGCAGGCTCTAAGGTGCTGCCTGGGACACCCCACTCACTCTGCTCCTTCCCACCTCACTCCCCACACAGCTGTGGTGACGCCCAGTCCCTGACTGGAGTGGCTGTGATGAAGTCAGAAAGAAACACTTGTGAGGCACGTCTGTGATGCATGCCCATGAGACGCCAGTGAGACACACCTGTGAGGCACACCTGTGAGGCACACCTGTGAGGTATGCCTGAGAGACACGCTTCTAAGACACACGTGAGTCATGCCTGTAAGTTATGTCTGAGATGTGCCTGTGAGGCACACCTGCATGACATGCCTGTGAGACACACCTGTGAGGCACGCCTGTGAGGCACACCTGCGAGACACACCTGTGAGACACACCTGTGAGGCACACCTGTGAGGCACACCTGCATGACATGCCTGTGAGACACACCTGTGAGGCACGCCTGTGAGGCACACCTGCGAGACACACCTGTGAGACACACCTGTGAGACACACCTGTGAGGCACACCTGTGAGATACACCTGTGAGGCACACCTGTGAGACACACCTGTGAGACACACTTGTGAGACATGCCTGTGAAACACACCTGTGAGGTACACCTGTGAGACACACTTGTGAGACATGCCTGTGAGACGTGCCTCAGGCTTGTGAGGTATGCCTGTGAGACACACCTGCATGACATGCCTGTGCTGTGAGGCACACCTGTGAGACACACCTGTGAGGCATACTTGTGAGATACACCTGTGAGATACACCTGTGAGGCATACCTGTGAGATACACCTGTGAAACATACCTGTGAGACACACCTGTGAGGCATACCTGTGAGATACACCTGTGAGATACACCTGTGAGGCATACCTGTGAGACACACCTGTGAGACATGCCTGTGAGACACACCTGTGAGACATGCCTGTGAGACACACCTGTGAGACATGCCTGCGAGATACACCTGTGAGGCACACCTGTGAGACACACCTGTGAGGCACACCTGTGAGACACACCTGTGAGACATGCCTGCGAGATACACCTGTGAGGCACACCTGTGAGACACACCTGTGAGGCATACCTGCGAGATACACCTGTGAGGCATACCTGTGAGACACACCTGTGAGGCATACCTGTGAGATACCCCTGTGAGGCACACCTGTGAGATACCCCTGTGAGGCACACCTGTGAGACACACCTGTGAGGCACGCCTGTGAGACACACCTGTGAGACATGCCTGCGAGATATACCTGTGAGGCATACCTGTGAGACACACCTGTGAGGCATACCTGTGAGACACACCTGTGAGGCATACCTGTGAGATACACCTGTGAGACATGCCTGCGAGACACACCTGTGAGACATGCCTGCGAGATACACCTGTGAGGCACACCTGTGAGGCACACCTGTGAGGCACACCTGTGAGGCACACCTGTGAGGCATACCTGTGAGGCATACCTGTGCGACACACCTGTGAAGCACGCCTGTGAGGCACACCTGTGAGACACGCCTGTGAGATACGCCTGTGAGACACGCCTGTGAGACACGCCTGTGAGGCACGCCTGTGAGATACACCTGTGAGGCACGCCTGTGAGACACACCTGTGAGACACGCCTGTGAGACACACCTGTGAGACACACCTGTGAGACACACCTGTGAGGCACACTTGTGAGGCACACTTGTGAGGCACACCTGCGAGACACACCTGTGAGACATGCCTGTGAGAGATGCCTGTGAGACACGTCTTCAAGGCATGCCTGTGTGACACACCCCAAGGCCGACTCTGGCTGCTTGTGCCACCTGCAGAGGGACCTGTGTGTACCAGGAGCAGTGTGTCTGAGAACAAACCTGGCCGGCCGGGGGGAGGCCAGGAGGTGGGAGGGGAACCTGAGCTTGCCCTTGGGTTCCAGCACATCTGTGGGCAGAGGAGGGGCAGTGCCACAGGGTCTGGCGCCAGGGCAGGACGAGCAGGCGGAGGTCCTGTGGAGGAAGGAGGGGTGGCCCTGGCCCCAGCCCGCCCACCGGCAAGGCTTTGGCTCTGTCTGGCGAAGGAGGCTCCTGCAGAGCCACTTCCCAGTGTGAAGTGCAGGTGCGGTGGGCAGTGGGGTTGGCACACCCTGGAGAGCACGCACTGGCCAGAGGGGCTCGCTGATAGGAGGCTGGGGTGCATGGTCAGACCCAGGGGAGGAGCCACGTTGCCACAATGTGCAGACACCGAGCTCCAAACCTGACCTCACGGTGCTTGCCAGGGACATGGAAAGCCAGCCCTCAAGGGGCAGCGGCAGTGCTCTGGGCAGTGGTGGTGGTACGAGTTTGCTCCTCACCCAGACTGTGATGAGCCAGGTGATTACCCACTGGCCCAGGACATACGGTGTGGGGGACACAGAGCAGGGGCAGAGCTAGTTCCCTGATGGCCAGGGTCCCTATCCACATCACAGCACTTGTGCTGCCCCCAAGGGCAACTTGGGGGCAGGCCAGCCTGTGCCAGCGGGCAGAACAGATGCTCCCCAGGCCAGTCCTGGCACTTTTTCAAAGGGTCATGGGGCTCCTTGATCTCCCAGGGGAAAACCTCTGTCCATTTGTTTCCTTTTAGGCTCTGGGGGCACAGTGTTGGAACTCCTTGCCTCATCCACAGAAGATCTGGTCAATGGCCTCACAGGGCCTATCATCCAACAGGGCGAAAGTCCTCTGCAAAACCCTCACTGTACCCTCGGCCCAGAGAGACATGAGATGCCCCTGGGCAGTCATTCCTGAGGGTTGGCCTGCTCCATGGCCGCTGGAGCCCTCGGAAGCCTTAGGAGAGTGGGGTGGGTCGTGGGTAGCACCCCTCGGGGCAGATGACCCTCAAATGTGCAGCCCATGTGGCTTAGACCTGGCCACAATGCGGAGGCTTGTGCCAGGAGGTGGGATGGAGTCTTGTGCCTGACAAGCAGGCTGCTGCTGACCCTCAGGGCCAGGACCAGCAGAGAGCCTCTGCTCTGTGACCTTGTGGCTTTGT